CACACTGAGCCCCATGCATGCCCAGAATAGCCAGTGCATTACTCCAACCCAGCTTGCACAAATGTGGCTCATGGGTGCTGAGCACCTGCTAATTTTTTTTTTCAGTGGATGCTTGAGCCCTGGAGCACGTACGGATTTGGCACCTATGACTAAGGCCGAAATCCACATCTACCAATACTTTACAAAGCCTTCAAGATGTTGCTAAGGCCTCAGCCTAGAATTTCTCATGATTCGCATGTAGACACTGCTCTATCAGGCTGCATAGCATTCCCAGGTCCTAACAGAATTAATTCGCTTTCAGGAAAACTGCTTAGGTGACTCAGAGAAACTAACCACACTGAAAGCCAAATTTCCTGACACCACAAGCAATCCAAACCTACCACTTTGGAAGTAGTACTTATATCAGCCTAGACAATCAAATCCCTCCCTCCCTCTGCGTCTTTCTTTATATTCATATATGTATGAGTAATCTGTCATGTTCCTCCAATGTAACACCTCCTACACTCTGTTCTAAGCCCTAAAAGATGTGAAACTACACATGTAAGATTCAGCCATACAGATCAAGAAATGTAAGGGAATCTAATTTGATTTCTAAATAATTGTTACGTTGTCGAAATGACTAGACTTGTATGGTGCAAGACAGGAAGAGAATACTGGAATATTTAAGGAAGAGTACTGGACCGTCTAAGGATCTAACCTGGGCAAAACTTAAAAACATGAAGAATTAGCTAAAAATGGAGAATGTTAATCAATAATCTAGTAACAGTCCTCAACAAGAAAGCAATGAAATAAATCTCTCATACACTAGTGACTTTTACTGGAAAAATGGGTATAACAAAAAACAAAAGAATGTAAGACAGTTGAAGGCTGTTTGCCAAATGGCATGGGGAAATCAGAAAATAATCCTCCATCCAAGCCCTGGGAACCTAATTTATTTGGCTCCGAGACACGAGAAGGTAAAATAAGTTATTCAAAAGCCTGTTAGATTTAACTCACTTCCTTGAAAAGATGTAGCAGGTATGAAAGATCATTTTACACTGGTATACCAGGGTAACAGATTTTTGGGCCACATACATGGAGGCCAGCAGGAATCTTGGTCTTTACCCTGTTAGTTATGAAAACATCTGAGCTACCATTTTTTTTTTAATCAATCTTTTTAAAGTGAATATTCCAGATCAAGTAGTGACAAGCACTTGAATTCAAGTGTCACATCTTAGGTATATGAAAGTTCAGTGAATTAGGAAGCAGAGGTGAATTGACAAGAGTTCCATGAATTCACAACTAGACGAGACTCAGTGACTTGCTCGAGTTGTTGCTTGTGAGTGCTACTGAATCTCAAATTTCAGTATCTAGGCTGATGAGCATCCAGCTCATACCATCTGAAATTTCATTTTCAGGGGGGCTCCTATACTGCTTCACAGAATCAGCACTGACATCTTCTTTCTCTTTTTCTGTATTGCTATATGTAACCTGGATGCTAGAAATTGGAGTAAATGCTGTTTAAGAAAAACATAGTAGCAGTTTATTTTTAGGACTGAAGGGATACATGCATATGACAATGGTATTTTCCAACTAGGATGTTATATATTTGAGATTCAGCTGTGGGAAAGAGAAAGTGGAATCTATTTGGGATCAGTCTCAGAAGACAGTTTCTGCCACCTTTACAGAACCACTATGATTTCAGCTGTTGCTGGCAGAGATGAGAAACCAAATAACTGACAAGGGCACCTCTCTGAATGTTACTTACTACCTATCTAAATAAATGAATACATCTAAATTAATACATTTCCTTAGAGGATAGAATTATTGTTTTTTGTATAATGCAATCCATACAAACGTAGCTATACAGAACTTCACGGACCTCTACCTATGTAGAAAGAGCTCTTCAGAGATAGAATTCTCTCTAGGAGAGTCGCTAGTAGTGGGTGACTGGGCATGATCCCTGAGTGCCATCATAAAGGGGGCACCAGAATGGACTTAGTGAGGGCTGTCCTACTGTGCCACCAAATCCATGGCTGTCCCTTGCTGGTGGTAACTGAAAATCAGCAGCACTTGGGGCTCTGGACCAGCTGTGCTCGTGGGGAATCCTGGGGGCTCACATCACTAGTTCCGTCATCAGCCTCTGTCCCCTTGTCAATCTCATGCTGCTCTGAAGATGCCACTGCTGTGGGGAAAGGTAGTGTCACAACATGGCCAACATCCAGGGGATTAACACAGACTCCCTACTGCAGCTGCTGCCTTTGTAGCAAGGCTGTGGGAGGATGAGCCATAGCATGCCTACAGCAGGGGGCCATACCCAATGGCTAATACCCAGAGGCTGCCCACTGTGCTGGTACCTCACCCAGCTGCAACTGTCCAAGGAAAAAAACCTTATCAGCTATGCTTCTGAATCCAAGTATGCTTTCATTACTGATTATACTCGATTAAAGTTTCAGATCTTCAATCCTTCAACAGTTAGGGAGTGAAATTTGCTGGCTAACAGATTAAATGATGGAAGCAGTCAGCTGCTGCACATTTTTTGTTTAGGCAAAACATGAAGTCATAGCAGGACCACAGTGATTGCATCCAAAATAGGCGAAAACCGCTATATAACATTGCTTCTTGAGAAACTTTGAGAGAGAAGCTTTTCAAGTTTCCCACCAATGTTTTGGTTCATGTAGCATGCTCCTACTTGTGTTGAAGAACCCGGGACTCAAAACCCGCAATATGTCAAAAAGATACTAAATTAAATACTTAGAATATAGAAATATACTGTATATTTAGAAGAAAAAAAAAACCCCAAGGTTGCCTACCCTGTGCTGTACAAGGAAACTATACAAGAAAGAATGGCAAGCTAGAGGCACAACTGCCCAGGACTGCACCCTTGGCAATGCCTCCTACAACCCACCCTTGTACCTTCTTTGCAAAGTTCTGGCTCAGGAGGCTCTGGCAGCAGGGTGGCAAACAGGAGCACCAATGATGAGGTAAGTTCACCAATGATGAGCAAAGATGTAGCCTTATTTTTTCTAGCACCCAACCCCCATTTAACAGTATCCAGGGCTTGTGCTCACTTACCCATCCATCCTTATGCTATTGGGCAAAGGGTCCACACTAATACAGGCAGTGGCTAAAAAAGCCCACAGAAAAGCTCAAGGAGAGGGAGCAATTTGATCTGACACTTGGATGATATAGTTGTTGCACTGGCACTGTATTTCTGCCCCATGATGTGGCCCTGACTTTTCCTCCCTGCACAGCTCAGAAATATATAATTCAGTTGCTCAGACTTCAAGGCAAGAAAAGTGAATCAAGTTACTCAGAAGCCTAGTTGCTTGCGCTTTCTTGCTTGGAAAGATACAGTAAGTACAAAAGGACTACGTCATACTGCAGTCATAGGGAACTGTTTTTGGTCCGCAGGCATGGAGGCTAGGAAGGAGTCTTGGCTGGCTGTTATCCTGCTACCCAAGAAAAGATCCATGCTATTATCATTTAAAATAAATAGTCCAGATTAAGTAGTGACAAGCACTTAAGTTGTATATACATGGGAGTTTATGAATTAGAAAGTGAACCGACAGAGTTCCACAGTACAGAAAACAAATTCAAAACTGTGTCAGTCTGCAACTTACTTGGATCACTGCTTCCGGTCCCATTATTGAGTAGAGTTGAATCTGGACTGGCAGTACTTGTCTCATTGTCTGTTGAATTGTGTTTTCCAGAGAGGCTCACATTCTGCTTCATAGAATCAGTGCCACTGTTTGACTCCAGGAAGTCTGCAATACTTGCAAAATGGGTACTGGAAACTGAAGTAGGTTCTGTTTAAGATACACCAAGTAATCATTTATTTTTAGGACTGAAAGAATCCACACAAAAATAGTATTTTGAGCTAGGTATTTTGTGCATGTCAGATTCAGTTGTGGGAAAGAGCAAACAGTAGCTATCTGGGACCAGACAAAGAGGACAGTTTGTCACCCTGACACAAGTGGGCATTTGTGAATTGCAAGTCTTTGCTTCCTCACCCCAACTCCATGAGTTTTATTTTACACTGATTTCAGTTGAAGGTGATTGTGAACAGCAACAAGATAACTGACAATGGCTGGTTTGGGACCTATGTGATATGAGTTGTCAGCCAAATCATCTCCATAGAGACAACTTTATCACAAAAAACACAATTAAAACTTGAAATGTTTTGACTGGTGCCTCAGAGAGGCCAGTAACTAAACAGCCATGGAAAATGAACTGCTTCATACCCACCAAGTGGTAGCCTGCATAAGTTAAGGCAGAAACTTAAAATTAACTAGGGGAATGCTATACTTCAATTGAATGAAGCACAGGCAAAGGACTTCAGTCTCCAGATATAAATTCACCACCCCTTCATGAATGTATATTCACTTAACAGCAATGGGCAATATCACTGGACCAGATTCAAGCTGAAGCTTCAGATCTTAAGTCCTTCAAACTTCTTACCTCTACTATCAGCATCATAATAAGAGGTGGGTGAGCAGGGCACCAGGCCCCGCTGCTGACTTAGATGAAGTACCATAACGGCAGCTTCTTGAGCCCTTGTTGCCACCACCCACAGGGCCACAGCAGTGGCCCACACTTGGGGAACTGGTGCACTACTGGCTGTTACAGTCCCTGTGGGAGGACGCAAGTGCCTGACACATTTCACAACGTGCACCACTCTGCTCTCTGGTGCCCAGCACCTCCTATTGCTTAAGGTGCAAAAACTCCTAGCTATGTTTCTGCATACTACCCATACCAGAAGTCTGAGAGGGAGTGTGTGATGGGAATTACATATTCAGGAAGCAATGCCCACTAGTGAACTATAAAGAGAAAACACAGGACTATATCATAGCAGTAACTCACAATGGTAAGTTTTGGGTTCTTTAGAATTTTTCCACACCTCAAGATTAGCTAAACTTATTAGAACAAAACTGTATTACCTACAGGGATTTCTCAGTTTTACAAATACATAATGCAAATCCAGGAACTCCAGAAATGCAAAGCCTCTGAAAGAACTTTCACAGTTCTTCCTATAGCCAGCTTTCTTAGAATAAGTTAGCTATTCCAAACCTGGCTGTGTTTGGTGACGACGGCCCTCACATGAGCATTAGGAAGGAAGGAGCAGTTCATGATAACAAGATGGGCATCGGCCATCCTGAGTAATAAAATGAGAAACAGGAAAGGAGGAGCAAAAAGGTAGAGTACTGGGATGGGCTACTACTTCCTGATGGAGAACTATACCCTCAGATTCCCGATGCTGACTATGTCATCAAATAAGAGGCACAGGAGATGTCCTTGGTTATTATTTCCATAAAATATTTATTTTACTTATGCCTAGAGACAGCCAGGGTTTCACAGAATCATAGAAGTAGGGTCGGAAGGGTCCTTGCAGATCTTCAGGTTCGAACCCCTGTCTGGGCAGGAAGAAAACTGGGCTCAAATGACCCCAGCCAGGTAGGCATCAAGCCATTTCTTAAAGACCCCCAGGGTAGGAGCCAGCACCACTTCCCTTGGAAGTTGGTTCCAGATCCTAGCCGCCCTAACTGTGAAGTAGTTCTTACGGATGTCTAACCTACACCTACTCTCCAACAACTTGTGGCCATTATTCCTTGTTATCCCGGGGGGCGCTAGGGGAAACAAGGTCTCCCCCAAACCCTTCTGGTCCCCCCTAGTGAGTTTATAGACGGTCACCAGGTCCCCCCTCAGCCTTCTCTTGTGAAGGACACAGTACTCCAGCTGTGGCCTGACCAGTGTTGCGTAGAGGGGGAGGATCACCTCCTTGGCCCTACTTGAGATGCACCTGTGGATGCACGATAAGGTCCGGTTAGCCCTGCCGACTGTGACCTCGCATTGTCGGCCCATGTTCATCTTGGAGTCAATAATGACTCCAAGATCCCTTTCTGCCTCCGTGCTCTCAAGAAGGGAAGAAGGTTTCACAGGCCTTAATCAGTTCCTCAACCACAACTGGTCCGTTTCAAGTTATGGGAACCACTGCTTCCTGACCCAACTCCCATGGCTTCCATTGCATCATAGGATTTGGTCAAGGGGACTGAGAGGCAGCAGTACGGACCTCCCAACACTCAGTTATCAGCTTACTTCTTTCCCTGCACTATTCAAGGTGTTCCATAAGGCTGATGCAACCAAAGGACTCTTGTTCTTTCTGTAAACTGGCTATTGCAAGTAAGGGGAAAGCACCTTTCTAAAGGCAGGCAAGGAAAGGCCGCCAGCCATCACCATCTGAATATGTGGCACAGTACAATGCATATGTCAGGTAAGCAGGTTTGATAGTACAGTAATTTGTTACATAACTATTACAAATATAACAGACACTGTAACTCAAACTCTTATAGCTGTAGCTCAGCTCTTTGCAGTTATTCATGTTACAAACAAGGAGGTAAAAAGTAATGCAACTGAGTGGTGAATAGCCTAAAACTTGGTAAGCTGTGTTCATTACATGAATTTGAGGTCACACTGTAAAGCCATTCTTAAACTGTGTTCCCAGTCAGCTAAGCAAGTATAACCCCTTTCCTTCCCCCCTCCCCCCCAGCTTTGGCTTAGCATGGTTTTTTACTCCTTCAGAATCAAGCTGAATCCTTATCTGCTTTGTTTGCTGTTTGTTTTCTGGTGGTGTTGACAGCACTTAACATGATAACGGAGCTCTAAAAACAAAAGCTACTAGGAAGACTCCCCTCCTGGTCCAACCACAATTTCCTTACTTCTGGCAATGTTTTTGCAGTGCGCGGTTTGAAACTTGAAGAGACAAGGGGTTGAGTATTTATTGAACTTACCACTCGTAGATAAACTTGAGAATGACATTCCATCCCCATGAGTTACACTGCCTTCTGTTAATTCTTTAGAACTTAGTTTTCGTGTTGTTGTTGTAATTATTGAGCTGCAATTTGGACCACCTAAATGGAAAGAAAGAAATAAAATCATAGAAAAATAAGTGTCTTTACATAATTCTTTGCATTTTACAATTTTGAACGTAGTTGCTTTGGTCATTACTAGTTAGGTTTCTTTCAGACTTTAAAAACAAGAACATGTTGAATGACACTTAATCATATAACCTCTGTTTTTTACCATTGTGAATTTTGTCAAGGCACTTTTCCTTTGAATGGATTGATCAGAAGCAAATTGGGCAGTGCTGTGCTCTGTGTGCAATTTTAGTATCTCACAGCACCCCAGGCTGGTACCCCAGTCATTCCCCACCTCCCTCCCACCCCCCGTTATACTATTGGAATTGATTGCCAATTAATATATCATACTTAATGCTATTGCAAAAGCTAGCATGGATGCTCCTCACACTTTTGATGAACGCTACGAGCTTTAGCTCTTTACTTATAAAGACAGTTAAAGAGCAAACGTTTGTAGCTATGCACCTATGGACCTTCCATCTGTACCATTAAGGGATTGACATTTGACATGTACTGCTAAAGTAAATGATTCTCAACTAGGATGTCTGGCATTCTGAGGTGCTGTGAGATTGTTTTAAGGGTGTTGCAAAATATTAATACTATTAGGTGTGTAAACCCATACGCATGATTCACAACATAAACCCAGAGATTTCAAATAGGAAAGCATAGTGTCAAAAACATTCTGACTTGTTGTGGTCTTTCTGAGATCTTTGCAACAGAAGACATGCTCTATTGCTTTTTTGTAGCAAAACCAGAGTGAAAGCTAAGAGCTGGCATTCTGCAAGGGGTGCTCTGAGTCTAACAAGGTTAAGAACTATTGCACCAGAGCTAAAGCAGTAAATCCCCCCTTCAGCATAAACACAGCTACACTGGTATAAAGGTTCTTAGTAGGGGTGCACCAATAGAGATTTTGGGGGCCTATACTGATAGCTGATATTTAAGGAGGCATATCAGCCAATACCAATCATTTCTGATACAGCTGCCTCCCGCTAGTAAGTCCGGTGTGGTGGAAGGAGATGAGGGAGGGAAGGGGCATGGGGGGGGGCAGATCAATACCCCCCATGATGAGGGAGGATGCAGAGGCAGAGGCAGGTGTTGCCCAGGCAGGGTGAAGCGAGGGATGGGGCACCAAAGCCACGGTTCGTC